CTCCTAGGTCACTCTTGGTAATGCCCAAACCCTCTGCTCGACAACACTAAAAATTGAAATTTCACCGTTTTTCACCGTACTATTAACTTTTTGAGCAGCCTCTAATGGTGGTAAAAATCCGAAAATTTGTGAAAAGCAAGTCCATACAATCAGTATGGAAGAGCAAATTTCAGAAAACTCCTGCTTCTTGGTTTAGCCACTAAACGGTCCCGGGGCGCTTCTTCGAGTAGCAACGCCGGATCTTCCCGCCGCGCCGCGCCGGTCTGCTGGCCCTCGACCGGCCGCGACGCGCGATTGTTCCCATTGTGCATACTTTGGGTTTCTCTCCGTCGGCCGAATCTGTGTTAATGACACCCTCTACCTACTAGCCGCTGAAAATGTGCCGACCAATTTTTTTATAGTTTAAATAATCTTATTTATTTAACGGATTCGGATTCAGCTCGCAATCCTGATGAGAAATATATATAATTATAAGTAGTTGTATCAGTAAGTTACTGATCGAAACGTGGGCCAAACGTGATAGCAGTCAGACATGTGTTAATAACAAAGGCCTCCTACTGGCAAAGGATAATTTGCCGACCAACTTCTTTAACGTTTGTAAAATATTCTTCTATTTCAACGGATTCGGATTCAGCTTGCAATCCTGATGAGAAATATATATAATTATAAGTAGGTATATCTGTAAGTTACCGATTAATAAATAGGACAAATGTGATCAAAGTATTTTAAGTGCTGAAGACATTCGCGACTTTTGCGATACTATGCTTTTTCAATGTACCTACTCATAATTAAACAAATTTTCCATCAGGCTTCGAGTGGAAGACCGCTCTGGGCAACAAAGCCGTCACGTTAGCCACGATACCTAATTCATGCTGTGCGACTCTGTTAGTATATTTTTATTAATCAGAGAGTTACGAAGGCACTATGTCTCACGTTTTTCATAAAAAAAATGGCCAAAATACTCTGAGAAGAAGTGAAATTAATCAATTAAAAAATTTGGAAACGTTCTTTACCACAGTCATTGATTGTAGAATTAAGAGGGAAGGAAAGATCACCCCGAAGTTGCCTTGTTCAAGGCCTCTGTGGTCATTTTGAACAGAAAATTAAGTCTCCATAGTTTTTCCACCTTCATATTTTTCAGAGGAATTAAATGAATGTACTGGTAAGGAGTTTACCGTCTAATGGTTGGCGTTTATGGAACCAATCCATAACTCAGAAATTGCGTTCTTTCATTGCCACTGAAATTAATGTCTCGTCACCAGAAGTGTTCCAGTTTATTCAAAATATCTTAACAACCTTTATAGCCCCTGAGTTTCGAGGCTTTACTTTGGGCTTTCGATTACATATTCTGGAAAGTGAAATCCAAGCGCTGAAGGACTGAAATTGACTTGAGGTATAATAATTGCTGGAGATATGAAATTTTATGCCCGATTTCTTAAGTGCAAGCTGTGGAGTAATGAGGAGAAAATTACTCCCTTGCCGAAAATCAGTTTTTTCAGTTGAGATTGGTGACTTTCGTCTAATTGTGATCCCTGTCCTCCCTTTCCCCCTTTTGTAGGATTGTAAGCAAACATAATAAAAAGGAATAAATGAAATTAAAAAAATATTAAAAAACACTCAGTTGGAATAGCAGGAAATAAATTAATGAAAGATTGAGAGAAAAATAAATAGGTGATAAAAAGGAAAAAAATCAATGAAAAATATTAAAAACCGGTGGATCAAATGTGTCCCTACACACAGCAAGGACGGAAATTTGAAGCAAGTTTCTGACTTATTCGAATTGCATAGTTGCGTTCAATTTTAAGAACATGAGTATCATAGTTCATAGTTCGATGCGTTTAATATTGATATTAGGGGAAAGGGATGGAGAATCAGTCAAAACCCAGAGGAGGGGGGGGGGCGAAGAAAAATTAATGGAAACGTGTGATAACAATATTTCATAAGGAGAAATTGCCGCGGCTTGGGTGGACAATTAACTGAAATGATTGGTTACCGAGCGAAACATGTCAAGGAAATGACATGAGGAAAAAACTAACCGTTCGGGGTGTTTCGTCGTTTTCACCCTCATCTTACTTGCGTGTCAACGAACTGTGCTCGACTGGCAGTGCATTCAGACGATCTGGTGCAGCCTGAAGGAAGCAAAGGAACCGAGGGTGGGGGATGGACAAGGAGGATGACTCAACGTGGACCGTTAAGCAGGATGCGTAGCCCAGCGCGGCGCGGCGCCCGACCACTGAGCGATGAGAGGGAATTAAGCGGGAATTAACTGGTGTTCTTCAATTGCCTCCTAAGATCAGATATGAATAAGAGCGTCATTGGCTTCGCCTCTTCGAACTTTACCGAATTTGACGGCTAATCAATCGAGTTCTGGGATCGGTATCGCTTTCGCTGCAATATGCCTCAGGTATCGGGAACTCGGAGCGGGCGCCGGACAAAAGGGTTTGGGTTCGTGAATGAGGAGGGCATTCGAAACAAAGGCCTCTCTACTCTTGAGCGAGGAGGCGATGCCAATAAAATCCTGAAAATCGGCGTTCGCTCTTGAGAACCCTCTCGACCCCTGCTCTGCTCAGGAGATCCAGTCACCTGAAATATAGCTCATACGAGGGCTGTCCCAAAAGAAACCGGACTTTTGTCATAGAAGGCGAACCGAGCGTTGTAATGCAGTTTTCTTGGGCAAGTTTGAAAGCTGATAAGCTACTAAAGATACTTGTTTTTACAGAATGCATAAATTCGTCTTGGTAAGGAAACTGCACGCTTTGGAATAAAGGAAAGTCAAACTCGAGTTGCGATTTTTGTCTTTATTTCAAGAAAAATATAGATACAACTTAAAAAACCCCTGGTCTTAAGTTGAAAACTTCGTTGTTCTCTTCTTCAAATGCTTAAAAAAAAAGAAAATTAACATTTTAAGCAGCTTACCAAGTCATCACCTACCCCCTTCAAAATACTCGCCAGCTTTATCGATGCATTTTTGCCACCGTTTCTTCAATAGGGAGAAACACTGTTGGAAATCCTCAGGTTTGAATGATCGCAATTCCTTCAAGGTGCTCTCTTGAATTTCCGGAATGGTTTGAAAACGTCGACCTTTCAAGGTAGATTTAAGTCGTGGAAATAAGGAAAATCACACGGAGCCAGGTCAGATGAATAAGGGGGATAAGGGAGGACATTCATGGCATTCTTTGCACAAAATTCGCGAATTTGGAGGGATGCATGGGCAGGTGCATTATCGTGATACAGCGTGTAGTTTCCTTACCAAGACGAATTTTTGCATTCTGTAAAAACCAACATCTTCAGTAGCTTATCAGCTTTCAAACAATCCCAAGAAAACTTCATTACGACGCTCGGTTCGCCTTCTGTGACAAAAGTCCGGTTTCTTTTGGGACAACCCTCGTACATGTTTTCTGAGGTAAAAAAACAGTGTAGATTTGCTAATATTTCATTAGCTTTCAGAAAAACCAGTTCTGAAATTTGATTTTTGGCCAGGTTTATCGGTCAAATACCAAAATGTGCCGCAGCGCTGCAGATTGCTCCAAAGCTCAAAGCCTTGAACACATTTTAGAGAGAAAGGGAGGCCGAGAAAAAAGAGCCGCTGATCACTCCAGCCTTTTCCTACACGAGTGGTTCTGAGGTGACAGCGAACCTCGGGATTTCTCCTATGCCAATCCGTCAAGTGTGTCGAGGAGTTGTCATCACGCCATCGGCTCTCCCGCTTGCGGGTGGGGCGGCGCGGCGGTCCGCATCTCTCACACCCACCCACAGTTGCGCTAAGTATATCCGCTACTCGAGAGACTTGGATGTAATTACCTTACAGTGGCATGTTTCCTAAGCCACAATTGCAAAATGTTGCAATTCTTTCTCTGCAGAAAGATTTTGCCGCAGTCACCCTATACCTTTACCTGTATGAAGGTGTAATAAAGTAGTCACGTCACCTTTCTCTGAATCAACGAAATTAGGTTAAGTGAAATCAGTTTTGTAACCAAAATAAAATAAAAATAAAGAAATATATTCATTTTTTTGACACAGTTATCTCTGTAAATGGTATACATTGTGACGTGGAGGCCTAAACTTTTTCAAAAAAATTTCCGACCCCGCCTCGGGCTGGGCGGTAAACCCCCCGGCTACGCCATCTTCGGTTGATGCTCCTAGTTAACACCTCTTGGATAGGGTCACGCCGCGCCACTGGAGTGAAACTAAGATGCATTTGAGAAATTAAAAATGTTTAAAGAAGGAGTATCGTGTTGGGCCTTTTCCGGCCCCACCTAGATTTTGCTGAATGTTTCATATTTTCAAAGCACTAGTCGTAGGTAGACTTTATGCCAAATGTTTTACCGTGGCAATTTATCGAATTTTTGCCATTTTTGGCTCTTTGGGACGATTTTTATCGAAAATTTGGCAACGTAGAAAAAAGTTGTACTGAACATTTTTTATTCATTTTTTTGCGTACTTTTCAAAAACGTACACGGTTCTTAGTTTGAATTGATTTTTGCGTGAGTAAAATTGAAAAAAACCCCTAAAAGTGGGCCGAAAATGGCAACAATGGGCCATAAGGCCCCTTAAAATTTATCGGAGGCCTTTAAAAAGGCCAGAAACAAAAAGTACGCAAAAAAATACATTTGAATCATCTGCTGAGAGAGTGATAACAGTCGAAAAAGTCGACGAAAATAATTATTTTTCGATGCCAAGATTCTGGGTTTAAGGCGTTGTTGCACCTTTGCATGGGCTCCGTTCGGTAAAATATTTGGCATAAAGTCTACCTACGACCAGTACTTCGAAAATATGAAACATTGAGCAAAATCCAGGTGGGGCCGGAAAAGGCCCAAAACAATACTTTACAAATCAAAGTATTTTTATTCTTAAGAAGAGGTTGCTTAGTTTTGCTAACTTTTATTACACCAAAGTTCTCTTCACTAAACTTAGTTCACTGGTGCGTAGGTACTAAGTACCTGAGTAATTTGTTCAATCCAATGTTTACCAACTGTTCCCTTCTCTTATATTTGTTGCAGGCGAGCTATGTAACAGAGAATGGTCTAGGCGGCATCATGGTCTGGGCATTGAATTTAGATGATTATGATGGTACCTGCAGTAATAAACCATTCCCACTAGTCCGACGATTAAATGAAACTTTAAGTGATGACTTCCTGTGACCTAGTACCAGCAAGCGAATGTAAATAATCAAAAATTTACTATTATTTCTGCTCCAGTAAAATATCACAGTGCTGCAAATTTTGGCTGAATCTAGTAATTTCTGAAGAATTAACTCCTAAGAACCCTCCAAAAATCTTTATCGATGTGTGAAGTTGAAAAATGGGTATCTGCGTGGCAGTGTCTCAAAATCTCGGACCACATTCAATTTTTTAAGAAAAAACTAAGCAATATAACTCCTTGAAATTTTCTGTGAATCTGATTGAATTGAATGAGGGAAGAAAATAATTCAAGAAAATCTGTAATTTCCATTTCTTTTGAAGAAATAAATTGAGCGGAAGTATACAACGTGGCAATCGAAGTTATGCACCCCCCAACTTGAGCCATCATTATTTTATCTCCTTTTATTTCCCATTGACTCACTCATTCTGTTCTACTCTTCATTAAGTGGACGCATTAAAGCAAAATAAGTTCATCCTGCTACAGAGTAATTCTGAAAATAAAACTCCTTTTACATCAATGAGTTCAAAGGTGCAAGTAACTCATTGCTGTCAGTGGAGATGAAGTTACCAAAGGAACATTTTACAGAGTGCACTGTATACTTGAATAAGTGTTACAAATTAATTTTTACTTTCTCGCTCCCATAGGGTAGAGAGGAAGTATTGTCATCCTCCAAGAAAAAAAAAAAAAAAAAGTTGAAATTTCATCATTTCTAGACGTTTGAAGGTCCCAGGAGTAAAAATAACCATACTTGAAAAAATGTGTGTCCGTCCGTGTGGCGTCCCCCAAATCTGTGTACAGCGATATCTCAGAATCTATCTGTTCGATTTCATTCAAAATTGGCACAGGACACCATATCTATGGTCTCCTTATGCACGTCCAACGATTTTGAGGTACGCTAAAATTTGGGGGGGCTACGCTCAATTGTCCATTTTTAGCAAAATCACACGGAAAGCTCATTTTGAGGGACTGTAAATTTTAAAAAATGCCTTTAATTCTTTAAAATTGGGCATCAAGCACATCACCTGGGTCATTAATTTAAGATCCTAAAAGATCTTTGGACTAAACTCAAAATTCAAGGGATTACGAGGCCCAAAAGTAGGGCACTTTGCTCCGCGACATTCCACAAACAACTCATTTTCAAAGACTGTAAATTTGAAAAAAAATGCCTTTCATTTCTTCGAAAGTTGGCATAAGAGCACCACCTGGTTCAATAATGTAAGTTCCTATGAGGTCTTTGGACTAAACTAAAAATTGAAGGGTTGCGCGTCATATAGCGAGGAGAGCACTTCGGTCACACGGAGAGCTCATGGACTGTAGATTTTGAAAAAAATGCCTTTAATTCTTTGAAAGTTGGCTCAAAAGCACCATCTGAGTCATTAATTTAAGTTCCTAAAGGATTCTTGGACTAATCTCATAATTGCAGAGGGGCCGATAGGAGACGCTCAATTCTCTGATAAATGAGTCGGAACGCTTCTAGATAATAGCAGCAAACGCTTTGAGTCAGGTGAAACCTAGGAATTCAAATGCATTATATAATGCATCATATACTATTTCCAAAATTACTCCGTAGGTATACACAAAGCAAAATTAGACAACTAATTAGGTACATACTCACATTACAAAGGTACTATGAATCATCAAGCTAACGCCAAGAACTGACACTTAGATCTTTATTAAAAACTAATATGTTTGTTGTTAATGAATTTAGAATCCCGGCAGATTCCATCTTTCGCGGTTCCTTTTTACGAGGTACTAAGCACAAATATAATATAATAATACGGCACAAATATGACTGATTTAATGCTTGTTACTTAATAAAGGAGGTTATAAATTGTTAGAATCCGAGGTATGTTGACGTTTGTCGACAGCAGCAAGGAGATGGCGCTCTCAGCGCTCTCTATTGTTTTCGCTTTGAATTACAGGGATACGCGGTAAGGAGATGGCGCTCCTGGCGGGCGTGTGGTGAACCTTCCAGCAGGTAGATTCGCCCGCCAAATTTAAAATTTGGGAGATGCTAAGCGAAAACCGTTTAGTTTTAAGACTATTTGAACATCGAATAGTCATTCTACCCATTCAAGTAGATATTTGATGGCTTTTGACCGTGCTTAAGGAGAGATTATAATATAAAATCGTATCTGAAGTATGATGTCAATGAATCTAATGGATCCTAATGAATCGTAGAAAAGCTAAGATTTTTACGGATCGCCATCTTTGACAGGAGACTTTGTTAATCAATTACATATTTAATTGAAGATGCCTCATAAAATCAACAAGTCGAGTCCGAATATATGAATTCATCACATATCGCGAAGACATTTACAATAAAGTTCAGTGGTTTGAATAAAAATTTAATAACTATTATCCTGTGATCAAAATTCCGATCAAACTTTATGATTTTGTAAAATTGGCAGTATTTTTCTAAATATTCCAGTAAAAGTGTCTACGCCGGCGCGAAGCGCCGGCTCGAGCGAGAAAGTCCCGTGCGGTCTCCGCACCAATCCGCTAAGCGGATGGGGGGGCGAAGCCCCCCAAATGCCGGCGCGTAGCGCCGGTACGCGGCGCGAAGCGCCGCGCATAAATTGGCCGGAGGCCAATTTTTTAATAATTTGAATCAATAAACAACTTTTACTAAAGTTTGAACTGTGCTCAAGTTAACTCTGAAGAGCTACCCCTAAAGTTGCATCCTGCTCTAAAGAGGATGAACCTAATGCGAGGAAGGGTCTGCGCAGTTATCACTGAAGTGTTGAAGAAAACGTCTCAGTCCAAGTTTTAAACAAAATTTTAAACGTTTCACAAAATGTAAACTGAAAGGTGGAAAGAAATAATATCAATAGCTCTTTTGAAATAATTTCGCAGTAACGTTTCATGAAACATTTCCCTATTTGCAGATTGACGAAGATTGTTCTAGGACGTAAAGTAGTTGGTGGAAACAAACATGCATTGACGATTCTTATGTATTCTTGTCTTGTAATTTATTAACATTTAAACCTCAAAATAACGACCTTATCCCTCAAAATAATGAAATATGAGTCATGAATGGCAGAATCATTTACCAGTGGTAAAACCAGCATACTCATTATCAAAATATCAGGAAGAAAGAATTTAAAATGTTTGAAATTATGTATTACTTAACATATTTGTTAGTGTTCTTAGTTCACATTGGAATTAGTATTACACTCTCCCCTCGATATTACCAAAATTGTGTCAAGTCAACACAGTTTTTGAAAATAGATTAAGATGATCCGGCAAATAAGGAGAGTTCCATAATCTGCAATAATATTTTATTTTTCTGGAAGCATGGGTTTCTAGGATATGGGAAACCTGGAAAGTAGTTGGATCTATTAAGGTATGACAAATATCTGAGAAAATAAAAGACTTCATCAAATAAAAACATGGGTTGCTGTAGTAACACCACAGATTTTAAAAAAATGTGCGTCAGTTCTTGGATGTTGTCATTAACATGCTGGTGTTAAAGTAACATCCTAGGATCTTACCTTTACATTCTAGAATGTTACTTTAATCCTTTATTGCATGACGTTGCATGAAAGCAACAATTGGTTTTCAGCTCAATTTCTATGCTGGGGTATTAAATTGAATTAAAGCAAGAAATGATTTTTTGGGAGCATTATAAGTCTGATCTCCCAACTTTAAAAGAAACTACAAAGATCCATTCCAACTGACACTATTGTCGAAAAAATACTGCACAATGTAGATTTTCTGTCCAAAATCAACGATTAGCTCATGCAACAAAGGGTTAACACCAGAGTTTTAATGACAACATTCTAGAGTTGTCACTTATTTTTTTAACATCTTTTTTTTCGGTGTTAGTCCGGAAATTGATGATTAAAAGAAGAAGTTTCCTCTCTCATCCCACTGAGATTAAGTTATTTTCTCAATGGACCAGTATACATGGCACGAATTTAAGCATTCTGATTCATGTTACTTTACGCAACGAAAATTACTGTGATCATTTCCTAACTAAGCTATTACAGTTTTTATTTAACATTGTCTTCCAGAAATTGAATTAAAATGTAAGTAGGGCTTTGGGTGTGAACGTTTTCACTTAGGTGGAGCTGCTTCAGATGTTTTAGGAAAGAATGCAGAGATCCCTGTGACAAATATTGTAAATGGTACTATAATTACTTCTTTAAGCTTCCACAGTCGCTGTATTTCAGTTGCTAAGGGTAGATACTTTTCGATCTTATCCCTATACTTTGCATCTCCGTTGGCATCAGCAAGGACTGAGATATCCATTAGGTGCACAATGCTCTGCTTCTCACCCAGAAGGACCAAATCAGGCCTATTGTGCGGGATGGTCTTGTCGGTACAGATGGTAAAGTCCCAATATTACTCTATATAACGCCGCCGTACTGGCTTACTCTGCCCCCCCCCCCTTAGAGAAAAATTGGCCCTAGCGATTTCCTTTAAACTTGATACATACATGCTTAGCAATTTTCGTGAGGAGTTGATCAAAATGATTCCGATTACAACACGTTGCCGAGGACGCCCGCAGGAGCGGAAAGTTGTTTCTCCGTATAGTAATGCATTGGAGATACGAGGTTCTTCACGCGCACCGCGCCGAACAGGTTCAATCCTGTCGCTTGACGTCACAGTATTTTAGACGGAATTTCAAGTATCCGATGGTATTTTTCGACGGAAAACTCGAATTTTTGGTCAAATTTTCAAAATTTCCAAATCCAAGATGGCGGCCGTGGCCTAATATGCTATGTCGGCTCCTGTTCGATCGATTTTCGTGAAACTCGGTATCATGGGGTATATTCCGACGGGAAACTCGAATTTTTGGTCAAAATTTCAAAACCAAGATGGTGGCCGTGGCCTAAGATGCTAAGTCGGCTCCTGTTCGATCGATTTTCGTGAAACTCGGTATCAGAGGGTATTTTTCAATAGGAAAGCAGAGTTTTCGGTCTGATTACAACAATTTTAAAATCCAAGATGGCAGATGTGGCCTAATATCCTGCCTTGGCTTCACTTCGATCGATTTTCGTGAAATTCGGTATCAGGGGGTACTTTTCAATGAGTCAATTTTTGGTCGGATTTCCAACATTTCAAAATCCAAGATGGCGGCCGCGCTACATAATGCGGTCCCCGCTTCTGGAACTTCAATTTTTGTAAAACTTGGTAAAAAAGAAGATGAAGACGAAGATGTTGTGTTCTCACCAATATTAACAACTATGTGGGGGCGTGGGGCGGTGGCGGCTCGCGGAGCTAGTCGCAAGTTCTTCGCGAAGCAAAGAACTGGGGTCAAGGGGCACTCCCCGGCTAGGCGTGTCAGCGCGCAAAGTGAGCTAATCACGGCTAGTTAAATATACAGCGTGTCCAGAAGTTAACGTACTCAACTTTCAGGATCGATTTTTCGGCTC